TTTTAAAAAATATTGGTAATAGCTTCTGTCTGTGCTCCCTGTACTTCAATATAATGACAAAACAGAGATAGAAACACAAATGAGATAATTTCTTGTGATGGAAATGCTTGCCCAATATGGCTCAACTGGGACAAGGAAATGGAACTCAATTTCAGCCCAAACCCAAAGCCAGGCTTTTGATGAGCTCTTTTGATTTCACATACTGAAAGACTTCTCAGAAGGCTCCTGACATCTGGAGCTATTAGTACTTAATGTGCTAGCTTCCAGTAGATAAATATAATAGGATCATTGATATGTGTTGGGTACACTGCCTGGAAGGTACATTAAGGTCTTGGTCATTCAAGAAGCCTTTATTTAACTACAAGCTCAGATAAAGAGTTTTAAATAATCTACGTCCTTGATTTCTCTGCCATCTTATTTCCAGGGCATTTACATCCAACTCAGCAATGAAGAATTAGAGGTTTGGTTTTTGAGTGACTCGGGTTCTGTTGCTCTCTCAACAAGATAAAGAAAAGGTCCAGATTTGAGTTCCTCGTTGTTGACTGCCCCTCAGTCTTTGGGTTCAATCTTGAGCTTTCTGTCCATGTCACTTAAGGAGATTGTGAGGGATGCCTTGACAATATTGTCCTGCTGTGACTTGCTTGAGTCTCAGTTAAATCATTCCTCTTCTTGTGTTGTGTGATTTAAGCCAACTCTTTACTCACTAACTAGTAGTCAGACAAATTGCTTCACCTCTGAATTTAGTGTTCAGATATCTAAAATTCAAGAATTGAACTAGATGAGCTTGAAAATGTACTTTCTGGTTATGAAATGTTTATTATTCCATCTTATTATGTAACTTAAAAATTAACAAAACTATACTTTTTATTATGTAGTTTATTGCAGTTTTTATAGTCCTTTCTCTCTTATTTAACTCATCAGCCATGGAGGTAGGGCAGCTGCCATGAGGAAAGTGATAGAGATTTTTCTAGGTATATGGAGCTTAGATGACCAGGAATATTTCTTTGAAGTTTGGATTCAGTCAAAGGGTTGCACTGGAGGACCTAGAGGGCCATGTGTGGCCTGGAGGCCTGCAGGTTCCCCACCCATGGACCAGGCCCTTGGTCACTGCCTTTTATTTCTAGTTCCAGAAGGAACAAGATCAATAGTACTCTTGTCTTAGAAGGATTAGCCTTTTCACTTTGCCAACTGCAAATGTTTTGTCCTGGTTTTGTTTCATACCAGAGAAGCAAACTGAAATAATCAACAACTGTCCAGTAATAGGAGAGGGAGGGGCTAGGCAATATTTATAAGTTTGACTTTATGAAAGAATTTTGAAGTGTGCAAAGTATGGGAGATCGAAAAGAGACAAAGAAATTGCATTTTTATGATTCTTTCGTGTAAGCTGCCTTATTTGTGAACATTATGTGAAGCACTTTGTAAATCTTAAAGAACTATTATAAACTCTAGGCCCAAGTTATTTGACACTATAGCCCTGTACATAGGTGTGACACAAAGATCACACGACAAACGGTGTTTCTGAATTTGGACTCCATGTATGCAGTAGACCATTTCTGGATGTTATCAAATCCAGTTTCCAAAAATCCAACTGCATAATTTTGTGCCTTTGACATCTTTTATAAGATGGAAGCTGATATAATCATCTTCCCAGTCACAGATTCCTCATATCAAAGTAAATGAATTCCCATGATACCTAGTCTTCAGGCCAATTTTCCAAGAGGCATCATGACACTGATGTTCTTGCCCTAGCCATACAAACAAAGCAGGAAAGCATCCAGGTTACCACAAAAACCCATTTGATCTTTCAGATTGTTCAATTATGGTTTTGACCTGGGCTTTAGAGCATCACTTAACTATTAGCTGTGCCCCTAGAGGACTGTCTTATATTTATTTAATTGGTTTCTTTCTGTATTATTCTTTAATTACAGCGTCAGTTTGTAGAAATTGTCCAAGCACTTCAGAAATTGATAGAAGCAGGATACCAGATTAGATGGCCTGACAATTTTAGTTGAAATGTAGCTTGTATGTTCTCATTATAATCTGTTAGTGTTTTGCAAGGAAAGTTTTTTAATCAGAGTATTAGAGGTAACAAATGGACTTACTGATTGGGCCCGGCAGGTTAGATAGCTGATTTGAAGAAAATCAGAGAACAGACGCAACCAGAACTCATGTGCTGTGCAGGATCTTTTCAGCTTTAAATATGAATGGTGACACAGTGGCTAGATGGTGTTGGCTTTGGAGTCAGGAAGATCTGAGCTCAAATCCTGCCCTAGCACATCAGATACTTTTATTAGTTTTGTGACCCTAGGCAAGTCACTTAATCTCTCTCAGCCTCAGTTTCTTAACTGTTAAAATGGCATGAAAGCCAGCGCTGTTATTGCCATCTTTTTTAGGAGATATAGTTGACCACATCCCACTTTACCTTTTTCATTTTGGGGAGGGGAAGGGTTGCTGTGAAAGAATCATGATATAAAATTTAAATGAAATGTATAGTAATGGTTATGACCATTAAATCCTTGTGTATTTGGCAAATGAAAAACAGACTTGAAGAATTTCAAGTCGCTTAGAGGAGTAAACACAGCTTTAGAATCACTCTCTGCTCACCTTGGTGTGCAACAACTTCTACTAAGGTGCTGCTCTTATGCATGATCCTAGTGTGGAGGTGACCCCAGGCCCACAGAACACAAGTTCTAGCTCAGAGGCCGAAGCTGACAGCCCTTGAGTAGAATCCTGGCAATAGCTATTTGAGGACCTGTCCAGCTAAGTCAAGCAAGGCTCCTCACCAGGGTGGGCATTCTATGAAAACATTGCTCAGTAGGCCTGCTTGACTGAACAAGCTTCCCTAGAGGGAGGTTTAGTATTGCTAGTAGTTTAGTATTAGTAGTGATAGTATTATTACTAATAAGTAGTTGCAGTTATCATCATAGTAGTTGTAGTAAGAGAAGTAGTTGTAACAATAGATAACAGAAATTGAGATGATAGTACTACTACTTTCTGGTAGTAGTTGTAGTCATTGTAACAGTTGCAGTAGGAGAAGTAGTGGTAGTAATAGGGTGGTAGTAGCAATAGTATTGGTACTGGTAGTAGTTCTAGAAAGGGAAGTAGTAATAGCAGTACTAGTGGTAAGTAACTGAAACTTGGGATGGTAGTAGTACTAGTAGTAATTACTGGTAGTAGTTGTCATAATCATAGTAGTTACAATAAGAGAAGTAATAATAGTAGTTAGTAACAGAATCTTGGGATGATGGCAGTAGTAGTACTAGTCATCATCATAACTGTAGCAATTGTAGCAGCAAATCACAGCAACAAGAATGACTTTACACATTATTTCATTTTAGCTTCACGGCAATCGTGTAAGGTAGTCATTATAGGCATATCAAAAGTTTTAGTTCACTTTTAAACTATTAAAGCTTAATAATTATTAAATAGTGTTTTAAAGCTTATTTTAAGATTACTACTATTATTATGACTTTACTACTACTGCTGCTCCTACTGACCCTCCCCACCAACAAAGGCATGGATCCTTGAAGTCTTGAAGTAGTGTGGAGAATGAGGTGTACTTCTGAAGAGGTAATAAGGAGAGCAGGAATGAAATCCATTGCTGTTTAAGCTCAGCCTCTAGATTCAGAAACCCTATTAATATGGGAACTCAGTTTCCTTATTCTTCCTGAATGAGGGTTGTCTATAAGAAAGTTTTGTGAGTTTGTTTTGAAATCTGAAACCTTGATTCTTGAGGCATTTGAGAGCTTTACAGCTGCTACCCTCCTAGTAGTAATAGCATTAATAATACCTGCTACCATCTTTGAGCCCTAGATTGAGGAAGAAATCAGTCCTTCATTCTCACTTAGCTTTCTTCATCTCTTTCTTCAACAAAACGACAGTCTAAGAGCTGATGTTGTGGTCATTCCTTTACATGCTTGTCATCAGTGAGAAGCAAATAGAGTAGATATCAGAACTCCAGGCAGGTAGACTTGGCTTTACAACTTGTATTTTGGTACTGTTGTTTTCCATTCCACCACTCCCCTTTGCTATTTTTATGAATTTTCTAGCATGGGGGTGGGGCATAGTTTGTTTTGGCTTCGCTATATCAACCTCATCTCAGAGCAGACTTCTGACTCCTTTACTTCAACATTTCATTCCAAAAATTAAATGTTTCAGGATCAAGTATTCTGGGTTAGTGGTGGTGTAGTGGAACGAACATTGGATTTGTGGGGTCAGAAGTCCTAGGTTCAAATCCTTAAGTTCTGGGCCTCCTCTTGCTCATCAGTAGAACGAATGAGATTGCCTATGAGGTCCTTTCCCACTCTCACTCTATGTTTCTATGATCTTTTGAGTAGCCCAAACTTATTCATACGTGCCTCTTGCATTGTGGCTGATTGCTATTATGTGAGTGATCTCCTAGGCTGCTTTTAGCATTATGATAGTGATTAAGTGGGCAACTAGGTGGCATGGTGGGTAGAGTGCCAGCACTGGAGTCAGAACAACCCATCTTCCTGAGTTCAAATCCAACTTCAGACTCCTCCTAGCCATCTGACCCTGGGCAAGTCACTTAACCCTGTTTTCCTCAGTTTCTTCATCAGTAAAATGAGCTAGAGAAGGAAATGGCAAGCTACTCCAGTATCTTTCTTTGCCAAGAAAATCCCAAATGGGGTCACGAAGAATTGGACAGGAATGAAACAACTGAACAACAGCAAATAATTAAGCACAGTAGCAGTAGTGATAAAAATGGATGGTAATTATTCTCTTCCCCAGACCTCGTGCAAAGTTTCCACACCAATCAACTTGACCATTAGCCAATGTCAGATTCAAACTTGAGGCATGCACAAGTTCATCACTTTGTCCTGGCTTATATCTGCAAATTATAAAACGATCAGAACAAAATCAGAAGCTATTATTATCTACCAGAGGCAGCTGACCACTCATCTCAAGAACTCAGCTAATTATACCAATGAACTTGTTATTTTCCTTGGATGTAGCATCTAATTCTTGCTTATGTTTAGGTATTGTAGAAGATTATAAACCCCCCTTCTATGATGTAGTTCCTAATGATCCAAGTTTTGAGGATATGAGAAAGGTAGTCTGTGTGGATCAGCAGAGGCCAAACATTCCCAACAGATGGTTCTCAGACCCGGTAAGTATAAGGTGTTTCTTACCCACCTTTTTCTCAGTTTTGAAGATAATCTCAATTCTTTGTTTGGAACCCATCAAGTATAAGTCCACAGTGTTAAAGGGATCCCCCCCCCCTTTTCTTTCTTTCCTACTGTTTCATAAATGGACGTTATCTGGACAGGGTCTTAGGCCAGCTGAGAATGAGCAGAAAGTGACCTGTGCCTATGAAGACTGAGTTCATATTAGGTGTTTGTTTGTTTGGTGGGGGGAGGGTGTTGGATTTTGGGTGGTTTTTTTTGCTATAATGAGCAGTAAGAGGAGGCAAACAGGTGGGGATTGAGTGTTAAACTTGGATTCAGGAGACACCTGAGTTCAAATTCTCCCTCAGAAATATTTATTAACTATGTGACCCTGGGCAAGTCATATCTTTAAAATGAGAATAATAATACCTACCTCATAGTGTTGCAAAGAGGGCCAATTGACATAAACATGTAAAGCACTTTGCAAACCTAAAAGCACTGTGTACATATAAGTGTTTACAATTATTATGATGAGGCAAAAGATGTATAAAAATGTCCATGTATTGGATAGGATGGTATGGTAGACCACTGAACTGTGAGCTATCCCCCATTCTGCCCATATTATTTTGGCCTTGAGCAAGGTATCAATTTCTCACCTATAAAATGAGGGGATTGGATTAGATCATCTCTAAAGATTTGTTCTAGTGCTGATCCTCAAGGATTCTTCACCTGTGGTCCTAAGCTTTAAAGGTTGTATGGTTTTAGCAGTAGAACTAATAAATTGAGACATGGTTCTGTTTGCTGTTGAGTTTCAGGATTTTCCCTCTGTTAATCTTGCTAATATGACACATGAAACCATAAAAGGCATGGCAAGTGCTATGTGGTTTACAAGATAAACTTGGCCTCTGCTGTTGAGAGGCCAAAGGACAGAGTACATGCAATACGAGAGCCTGTCTGCTTTATCAATTCACAAGAAGTTCACTTATGTATTTAAGGAACACAGCAATAACATCACCTTGACTTTATGTTAGATCCCTAAGTGCGGCAAAAACTATGGCTACACATTCTATCTTCTCAGCTTACAAGTGACTAGAGAAGAGTTTGTGACTTTCATATTTGTGTTTTTTCTTCCCTTAGACATTAACCTCTTTGGCTAAACTTATGAAAGAATGCTGGTATCAAAATTCATCTGCAAGACTAACAGCTCTGCGTATCAAAAAGACTTTGACCAAAATTGATAATTCCTTAGACAAATTGAAAGCTGACTGTTGACATTTTCGTGGTGCTGTCAAGATGGAAGATTTTTGTTGTTGTTGTTGTCATTGTCCAGTCTGGAAATATGCTGACCTGACGATTTGTCAGAACTGATCCCTTCCGCCCCCCAAAAAATGGCATCTTAGTCGAGACAGACATCTTATCTAGCCATCTCTTTGGGAGACGTTAAAACCACCTGAACCTCGCTCAATGACTCTAAAAATGGGCATTTCACAAACTGTTCAGACTTCAGAGACTTAATGCTGGATGTACTGTTGCAAAAGATGTGACCTGAAGGAACACAGAGAAATCCGAAGACAAAGATCTGGGCATTATGATGATGGCTTGGAGCTCTTCTCACACAGAGCTCTTAGACACTCCCCCCGGGGAACGCGAGGATATGGTAAATTTTTAATCAGCAATATTGCCTGTGCTTCTCTCCTTTATTGCACTAGGAATTCTTTGCATTCCTTACTTGCACTGTTACTATTAATTTTAAAACCCAACTTGCCAAAAAAAAAAATTGGCTCTGTACTCCACTGATCCATCTGAATAATAGGAACTCAATTTGGCAAAATGAAATGTAACTGTCAGACTTCGCTGCATTTTACACGTGCTGATGTTTACAATAATGCCGAACATTAGGAATTGTTTATAAACGACTTGGCAAATTATTTATTACTAGTGCACTTAGCAGTTTTCACAAAACTGACTAGTGCATGTTAAAGCTTATTTTTATGTGGTCTCATGATTTTATTACACAAATGTTTTTAACACTATTATCTGAAATGGACATTTTCTGTATTATCAGTTAAGAGTCACATTTTAAGTGCTTCACATTTGTACGTGTGTAGTCTGTAATATATTTTTTTTTCAGTTCGTATGCAGAACATATTTAGCCATTACCCATGAGACACCACCGAATATCTTACTGATTTAGAGACAATTAAAGATTTCAGTAGAACTTTAGTCCTGAATGCTGTGGGGGAGGGGGGAAATGCATTTTCTTCTGAATTATACATTATGTGCATTTAAACTCTGCCAGAAAAAAATAACTATTTTGTTTTAATCTACTTTTTGTATTTAGTAGTTATTTGTATAAATTAAATAAAATGTTTTCAAGTCAAACAATGAAATGTTCTTTTCTGCTCTTTGAAAGGTTTGTGTAACATGAGGCATTTTCTTTTTTTGTATGTGAGCTATGAAAAGTGTTGTAATCTGGAAATGACCTTTTAGCTCTGTATAACTTGGGATCAGATTGAGAAAAATACTAGCATTTCTGATAAAGATCTCAGAATTTCAGAATTAGAAAAGACCTCAGAAGCTATTTCATTGTCCAATCTGTAGCAGACCAAAATTCCATTTTACAGCATAAGGTAGTCACCTTACCTTCTCTGTAAACCTTAACACTATTTCCCTTAAGGAAGCCTGTTTAGCATTTTTTTTTACAGCTTACCTTAAAGGGTTGAGAACAAATCTATTCCCTTTTCAACATAAAAGCCTTTCACATATTTGAAGTCAGTTAACACCTCTCTCTTCCCTACCCCCACCTCTACTTTGCACACACAACCCATTTTCCCTTCTCTAGGCAAAATGTCCCCAGTTTCTTAAATTGATGTTTATATGACTTTTAAGGAAAAAAAACTTCTCTAATTTCAAAAACTGTTGGAATGAACTAGGGCAACAGCCTAAAATAGCATTAAGTTTTTCTATCTACTTGTATGTAACAGATCTTATTGTCTGATGATATTAGAGAGTCTCTGTATCTCCTTAAAGGGACAAGAAAGGTGCTGCATGTGAGTTTTGGAACTGTCCCAAAGGAGAAAAAAAGATAGTGACTAAGGGGACTGTAATTAATAGGAAGTGTATACTTAGAAGTTTAGCATAGTGTTCCAGAACTGGTATATGCGGATATACCTGTCTACCAGGAAGACCAATGAAAGTCAGCTTTTATCAAAATTGTAACATTTTAATAGGAGAAAGGACCTTAAGGATCATATAATTCAGAGGTTCTTATCTACCTGTGGCATAGACCCACTGGCTAGACTTCTGTAGATGCCTTTTCAGAATGTTTTTAAATATAACATAAAAAGGACTACAAAGACCAAAAGTTAGTGAAAATAAAGATATCTCTATATAGATTTAGATTTGGATCTACATCTCTAAATCCACATAGAGATATAGATAGAGATATCTTTGATGAGAACATATATGTGTGTGTATATATATAGATATACATACACACATATACACATATACCTATACACGCACACATATATATGTTCTTATCCAAGTCCACAGATCTGAAATCTGTTCCACACACTTTGGGGTTGGTAAACCCCAGGTTAAGAACCTTGACCTAGTCCAACCTCCTAGTTTTACAAGTCAGGAAACTGAGGCCCAGAAATTTAAAGAAAATCACCAAGATCATAGTTCCTTTAACAGAGCTATGAACATAATCCAGGCCCTTTGATTGATTAAATTGGAAGCAACCTTTAATGCCATCAAGTCCAAATCTATTCCTGAAGAGGACTTTCACTACAGTATGCCTGACTAGTGGTCCTTCAACTATTTCTTGAAAGGAACATAATACTTTTTTTTTGTTTGCTTGTTTGTTTTTTATTAGGATAGGCAATGGGGTTAAGTGACTTGCCCAGGGTCACACAGCTAGTAAGTGTTATGTGTCTGAGGCTGGATTTGAATAAAGGTACTCCTGAATGCAAGGTCAGTGCTCTATCCACTGTGCCACCTAGCTACCCCAAACATGGTACTTTGTAAGGTAATCAAGAGAGGTTGTTGTTCAGTCATTTTTAGTTGTGTCTGTCTTTTTCTGACCCATTTTGAGTTCTCCTGACAAAGAAAACCATTCCTTAGGAAAAGGAGTCTTCCTGACTCCAGGCTTGATGCTCTATGCAATATGGTGCCATCTAGCTACTCCAAGAGAGGTAAGAACCCACTATTTCCCAATAGATTATTTGACTTTCGGCTAACTCTAAATCCCAGGAAGCTTTTGCTTATATCATTCCTATTCTTCCTAACCTTCTTTGCAGGTTCTACCCATTGCTCCCAATTGTACCCTCTGTGAACGGTCAGAACAAGGCTAACCCCTCTTACATGTGAAGAAAGCCTTTTATTTGAAAAGAACTGTTCTTCAGCACCCACCTTCCAGTCTTTTCTGGACAAACATCCTAATTTCCTTCAATTAATTCTCACAGAGAAGTTCATAAGATTATGGATTTAGAAATGGAAGGAACCTGTGAGACTATCTAGTCTAATCCTCTTGTACAGTTGAGGAAAATGAGGCCCAAAGTGACTCACTGACATTGAGTGGTAGTCAGAATCTGAATGCAGACCTTCTGAATCCAAATCCATTCCTCTTTTCACTGTACCATGCTGCTTTAGCCTGGTTCAAGCCAATGCAATTTAGCCCAAACCAATAAAATTGCAAGGATGAAAATAAATTTTTAAAAGATAATTTGTGGGGGCAGGTAGGTGGTTCAGTGAATAGAGCACCAGTCCTGAAATTAGGAGGACCTAAGTTCGAATCTGGCCTCAGACACATAACACTTAGTAGCTGTGTGACCTGGCCAAGTCACTGAACCCCAATTGCCTAAAAAAAAAAAGATAATTTGTGTTAATAAAATTAAAAATGAAGTATACCAACCATATCAAAATATTATAAAATCTTTAGGTAATATAATATTCAGATACATATATTTAAAAAAATTAAATGTGTGGTGATGCCTTTATCAAATGCTTTATTATACTTTCCTAGTCTTTGTTGTTATTTAGTTGTTTCAGTCATGTCCTACTCTTCATGACCCCATTAGGGGTTTTCTTGGGAAAGATACTGGAGTGTTTTACCATTTCCTTCTCCAGCTCGCCTTATAGATGAAGAAACTGAGGCAAGCAGGGTTAAGTGACTTGCCCAGGATCATAAAGCTAGTAAGCGTCTGAGACCAGATTTGAACTTGTGTCTTCTTGACTCGAGGCTTGGTGCTCTATGCACTGTGCTATTGTGCCACCTAGCTTCCCTCTTTCTAGACTTAGGCTTGTCCTAATTTCTCACAGTCTCTTGAAAAATAATACATGCCTTCTGCACTTGACTTTCATAACATCACTCTTCATTTCAGTACTAACTGCCCTTTATGTTCAAGGCACCATGATACCAAGGCACGACACAGTGGGTAGAATTCTGGTTCTGAAATGAGGAAAACATAACTTCAAATCTGAAACTTTCTAGCCATGTGACCCTGGCAAGTCATTTGTTCTCTTCTGCCTCAGTTTCCACCTCTGTAAAATGAAGATAATATCATCTATTTCCTAGAGCTATTGTGTGTATCAAATAAGTTAATATTGTAAAGTGCTTTGCCAAACTTAAAGTGCCATTTAAAATAAGAATTGTGTACATAGAAGTGATAACTGAAACTAAGATCTTATTAAGGGAGAGAGTAGAGGAAGAACAGAGAAAAGGACCTAGGATATTTTTAAATCATGGAACTAGGATTTGAAGTTGGTGAAGGAGCTGTGAGAAGTGACTTCTTAACCAATTCATCTACATAGCTTCCCTTCTATAGTCTAAGATAAAATGGTGAAAGAGGGGAAATGAGGTTGTTCAGCTTTACTCTGAATTCAATTACCTGAATTTAAACTAATTTTCAGTTATTTAACCCAAAACATGAGCCATGATGTAGAAGTCAAATCTAAGAGTGGAACCTTATCCTTTAGTGATATATTTTTCCTCTCCCATGTTGAATTTCTAAAATTGCATGCTATTAATCCAGGCAGAAAGATATAAAACACTTTTGCTATTGATTCATTTTAGTTGGTTTGCTTTGGAATGGAAGGAGAGTACTAAAGATAAGACTTCTTTTTAGTGCTTTGAGATCCATCATAGTTCCTATGGTTTAGTTTACCTCAGGCCTTGAACATCATGATTTCCTGTGATTATTATTTCCTGTTGTTTTATAAGAAATTTTAGTTTAGTACTTGGTTTGTGCTTGTTTATGCTCAGACTTCCTTTCAGGACGGTTATACAACCAGACTGAGGTCTTTAGCTCCCGTTGGATTGATGGGTCAATCAACTGCCCTCTCCCCAGAGGACAGCCTGAAGGAAAGCTGCTGTCTTATTGTTTTTATTTGTAGCTTCATGTGGATCATTTTATTAGTTTTCCTCCAGATTCAGCTCCCTGCTGATGTAATCACAGGAGGCAAATGTCCTGTTTGAGCCAGGGGAAATGAGCTAAATTTGTTTTTTCTCGATACCATGTTATTAACAAATTAAGCACTAATGAAAGTAACTTGTCCGTTCTTTCCCAGTCACTCCATGTAGAAACCTAAGATATCAAGTGAAAAGAGTTCAGCCTCTTCATTTTGCAGGTGAGTAGCCTGAAGTCCAGGGATGATGAGTGACTAACCTGAGGTCACATGACTGGTAGGTGACATTTCTGGGACTAGATGTAGGTCTTTTGACTGCTAGATGCAAGTGGTCTTCCTAGTGCACCACCTTTGTCATCCATCTCCAGACACTTCCTTGTTTCTGATGTACAGGCTCTTCTGATAGCAATCTCATGGATGTGAGAAGTGTCTCTTTCATTTTTTCTGCCACTAGGCAGCTTCAGAGTTTAAAGAGCTCCATAGAAACAATCAAATAAGCTAATTAATCCATCAATTAATAAGCATAACTTAGAAAGTGCCTACCATGTGCCAGGTGCCATGCAAATGGTAGATAATTCTCAGGCAACATCCAAATATCTCTCAACACTCTTAGGTGTTTTTTTTTTAATCCTATGATTTGACAGGTTGAAAAAAGGCCTGACTGTTTATAGCCTGGTCTGCTTCTAAGAGGATGAGGAATTCAGATTACAAAACAACAACTGATTAGGTTAAGGTACTGACCAGTGTCTTGATCAATATAAAACACTAATTCTTTTGAGAAGTCATTTGTTAAAGTACATTAGTAAGCTAAGTAGCATCATGGTTCTATGAGTATATGTTTTATATATAATTAATTATTTATAATTAATTGTTTTATAATTAAATGTTTTACATTCCCAAACATGGCAATACTTTCCATCTCTTGGGAAATGGTCTTATGTATAGCTTGTATGGATGTATAGCATATATGTTGA